AGAAGAAGAAGAAGAAGAAGAAGAAGAAGAAGAAGAAGAAGAAGAAGGAAGAAGAAATGAAAAAAAGACCTACAAATAGAAATAGAACAACTATGCCAAAGACAAGCAAGGGTATTACCAATAGTCATAGGCGCCTTGGGTGCAAAATAACTGGAGCATCACTTGAACACCACAGGCACTGACAAATTTGCCATCAATCAATTGCAGAAGGTAGTTTTACTTGGAACAGCTTCCATCCTGTGGCGATAGCTGTAACACCATCAAACATCCAGATTTGCCTATCCCAGATCCTTGATAAGGACTCAGTTAGTAGACAAAAATGCCAAACCCAGTCTGAACACCTGGCTGACTATGCAAATAATAATATAAAATATATAATAATAATAATAATATAATTGCTCAGACTGACTACAAACAACATCACAACACAGTCGCTCAGATGGTCCACTGGAACTTGTGTCACAACTACCATCTACCTGTAGCAAAGAACTGGTAGGATCATAAGCCTGAAAAAGTGGTCAGAAATGAGCATTCAAAACTACTGTGGGACTTCTGAATACAGACTGATAAAGTTTTGGAATACAACACCCAAGATATCACAACTGTGGAGAAGAGAAAAGTGTGGATCGTCGACATTGCCATACCTGGTGACAGCAGAATCGACGAGAAACAACTTGAAAAAATCACCAGATATCAGGACTTGAGAACTGATCTACAGAGACTCTGGCATAAACCAGTACAGGTGATTCCAGTCGTCCTCGGCACACTGGGTGCTGTGCTTAAAGACCTAGGCAAGCACTTGAAAACAATTGGCACTGACAAAAGCACCCTTGGTCAGCTGCAGAAGGCCACCGCCGATACATCACACAGTTCTAAATGCTTGGGAAGTGTTCGACTAGTGATTTGTGATATGAAACCCAGCATAGTTATCTCGTTTGCTGTGTACACTGTTGTTTTTTGTGTATAATAATAATAGAAAGAACAATAACAACAACAAGATGGTGGCCTTGGTTTGATTGGTTGACCCCAGGAAGCCATAGGTTTATATCAGGGTATTAGTAAATTGGCAGTTTGATTTTCAGTCCCTTCCTAATTATTCCTATCATAGAATTGACTTGTGTTTTACAAAATTAACACACACTGGTGTTTAGAAAACTGAGAGTGTGCTGACAAGGAGGGAAAGTTAAATATATAGCAATTGTTGAAGTTCAGCCATGTGCTAACCATTAATAATAACAATCCTAATAAATAATCACCTAATAAAACTGATGTTCTATCACTCTGACATAGAACTCACTATCCCCATATTCATTTATATTAAAGCCAGTCAAATCTTTGGCAGAAAAACAAACGATCTCTGGACGTTTTTTTTTACATGCAGGAAGGGTTTTTTTTTAGAATAATCTGCTACCAAAAATGAAACATCTGTTCTTTATTATCTCTCACTTGTCCTCTTTGCAAAGTAATATTTCTCCACAGTGCACATTATCAGCATTTCTTGAGCCAGTCATGTTTTCGATAAGTGACATCTTTACAATAATTGCAATAATGGTTCCCTAATTAATTCACCCTGCCAGAATGATGCATGACAGAAGAACAATAGGGAGTACTTGTGTGTGAAATTTCACACAAATTTGGAAACAGCAAGCTGACAAAATCATTAAGGCCCCTGGGCTGGCTGGACCTGAGACAACACACAACCAATGTTTGTGTTGGCTGCTGGAGTTCCATGCCAAGTGTGTTTAGTTGGTCCTGTTATTTAGGAACGGTCTTATTCTTATGCTAAAGCAAACAAGCAATGATTGTGATATTTGCATTGGAGAAGTTACATTAACCATATTTTATATGCCACTGACTGATCCAAGCAACTGTTATATTGCCTAAATTGGTCCTGTAGCTAGTCAAATGGGTTTACTTGCCCACTAGCTGGTCACATTTGATGATTACGTTTCAAAACACACACCTACGCTTACATGTAAGAACAGACATTTTGTACAGACAAAAGGCTGCTGTTGTTGTTGGGCACTAAATCTATTCATTTAACAGAATAACAGAATAACAGAGTTGCAAGGGACCTTTGAGGTCTTCTAGTCCAATCCCCTGATCAGGCAGAAAACCCTATACCATACCAGACAAATGGTTGTCCAATCTCATCTTAAAAGCAATCATTGTTGGAGCACCCACAAAGTCATTCGACTGATTGTTCTAACTGTCAGAAAATTTCTCCTTTGTTCCAGGTTGCTTCTCTCCTTGATTTAGTTTGCATCCATTGCTTCTTGTCCTGCCCTCAGGTGTTTTGGAGAATAGCTTGACTCCCTCTTCTTTGGGGCAGCCCTTCAAATACTGGAACACTGCTCTCATGTCTCCCCTAGTCTTTCTTTTCACTAGACAAGACATACTCAATTCCTTCAACCATTTTTCATACGTTTCAGCCTCCAGCCCCCTAATCATCTTTGTTGGTCTTCTTTGCACTCTTTCTAGAGTTTCGGCATATATTTTTCTGTTGTGGCAACCAAATCTGGATGTAATATTGCTGGATTAACACTTCACATGATCTGGATTCTATCCCTCTGTTAATGCAGCCTAGGATTGTGTTGGCTTTTTTGGCTGCTGCAACACACTGCTGGCTCATATTTAAGTGCCAGCAGTGTACTGCAACTGCTAATTTCATCAATGTAGCAATTGATGAATTGCTTTACACAACCATCTCTCTTTCTCTGTGTCTCTTTTCCCACATGTAAGTGCAAGCACACAAACTGACATATTTTTTTGCATTTCTTGAATTCTTTGTCAGTGGTTAACCACTTCTTTTTGCTTGCTTTATTGGCACCTGAGGTGTCTGCAAAATAAGTTAAAGTGGCCCCCAGACCCTTAGAATTGGGCTCTTTTTAACTGCATTTGGAGGGCTTCAATCACTATATGTGAGTTCCATTTTGATGTTTATTAACACCCCAAGCAGATGCCCTGGTTCTACTCACACAGATGCCTGGTACAAAACTGAAACAGAGAAACCAGACTGATTCGTCATCTCATCTCTTGGTAAAAAAAGAATATCTCTCTAAATAGCTCTTGAATAAGAAGAGAAAGTTGGTGGCATCCTCAGCACAGGATCCTGCTGTTCCAGCACTTGGAAGGGATGCCAGGGTCAAGGCAGAGTTGAAGTGACTGACTTCAATCTCATTGCACAATCTTCCCACCAGCAGTCTGAAGCCCTCACAGCTCCTGGTGCTTCCATGAAAATATAAGAAAAGCCTCAGGCGGGAACTCATAAAGCATAGACTCATGGGGCTGGAAAGAACCTCCGAGAGCTTCTAGTCCAACCCCCTGTTCAAAGCAGAAGACCTTATACCATCTCGGTCAATGGTTGTCCAGTTTATTTTTGAAATTTTCCAGCAATGGAGCACTCACAACTCCAGGAGGCAAGCTATTCCATGGATTAATTGTTTTCACTCTCAGAAAATTTCTCCTTACTTCTAGGTTGGATCTCTCTTTAATGATCTTCCGCCCATTACATCTTCTCCTGCCCTCTAGTTCTTTGGAGAGTAAGTCCCTTTTCTCTGTAATATCCCTTCCAGTATTGGAAGACAGTTATCACGTTCCCCCTTAATCCTTTCTAAGATCTTTCCAGAAGTGGTTCTCTACTGAAAGGAATTCTGCCTTTTCAAAGTTGGAGAATTCCTTTTGCAGAAACTGTCCATACAATCTGTCTATATGCACATTTGGTGGAAAATTCTGAAAGGTCAAGAATGGACTTGCTGATGTGAGGAGCTTTCTGCTTCCAACTCACACTATTTCTGCTATTCCCATCACAGATGGTCCTTCAAATGCCCCCTTTCCTGTGATAGCATCATAGGCTATCAATGGGATGCTATTTTTGCAGTGATCTGACAGTTCTCAATTTTGTTGATGATCCAGCCTGGCGCTAGAATAGTAATGGTAGGAGTGGCAATTGTGGTAGAAACAGTGATAGAAGTTATGTTCTTATAGTACCAACCATAAGAGCATCAACCTTGAATATTAGTTCTCAGTCCATAGGCCAACTCAATGTGTGGCCCTTCTGCTTCACACTTTGTACCCAAGAAGAAATGGAAGAAGCTGGAGACTTACCGAGGACAACAAATTGGAGGGTGAGATTTTTATAGAGACCATGCTTCGGGCTCCTCAAATGCAGTGTAAAATTCCCAGCATGCTTCGGTCTCACATCCCTGATGATTATCCTGTATCTCTCCGGATCTAAGTCATAGCAGTCATTGGCTTTGATCAGTTGGCCATCTTTGTACCTTTTGGTCCAGAAAAAATGGGAATGAAAAACAGCTGAGACAAAGGGATAGAGGGCATCACGTTTCAGAGCAAATTTATTTTTTAAATTTTAATTTAGAGTTAGATATTTAGATATGTTCAGGCCAGTTCAGGCCTCTCTGCCCAAGTGGAATGTTCCCCACTCATCCATCAATTGGATTGGCTCCACAGTATAATTTTCAGTACAGGTAGTCCTTGACGTACAATGATTTGTTTAGTGATGGTACAAAGTTACAACAGCATTGAAAAAGTGACTTCTGACCATTTTTCACATTTATGACGTTTGCCACTTCCCCATGGTCACATGATCAATATTTGGATGCTTGGCAACTGACTCACATTTATGACAGTTGCAATGAATTAAGAGTTAAACTACTGTGTTAATTGCAATGCAGGCATGGATAGGGAAGAGAAACCGATCAACGTTACAGCATAAGCCATTTTTCTTTCTGCTCCTGTTGGCAGGGATTGAAAACTGTGCTGGCCATTTAGGGGAAAGGAGGTTTTTAAAAGCTGCTTTTCCATCCTTGGAGTTAGAGAGTTGGAGAGGGGAGGCAATGATTAGTGTCAATTGCAGGATTTGGAAGACGTTGCCATTTTGTGGGTCTGGCGCAGGCATGGGAGAGCCACGGAATGTCCTCCTGAAAATCCTACGCCTGGCTCGTCGGTCACTTTCTCTGTTGGTTCTATCAAATTCAGAACTCTATTCTTAGGGAGATAAGGCCTGGAGTTTGGATATAGAAAAGCAGAGTTGGAAGGGACCTTGGAGGTCTTCTAGTCCAATCCCCTGCTCAAGTAGGAAAACCTATACCATTCTAGACAAGTGGCCATCCAGTCTTTTCTTAAGAGCCTCCAGTGATGGAGGCACCCACGATTTTTGGAGACAAGCTGTTCCACTGGTTAATCGTTCTCACTGTCAAAAATTCCTCCTTAGTTCTAGGTGGCTTCTCTCCTTGATTAGTTTATTTTCATTATTTCTTGTCTTGCCTTCTGGTACATTGGAGGAAAACCCTCTTCTTTGTGGCAGCAATGGTATCATGTCTCCCCTTTTCACTAGACTAGACATACCCAATTCCTGCAATCATTCTTCATATGTTTTAGCCTCCAGTCCCCTAATCATCTTTGTTGCTCTTCTCTGCATTCTTTCTAGAGTCTCTATGTTTTTCTTATAATATGGTGGCTGAAACTGGATGCAATATTCCAAGTGCGAAGGCATTGCAAATGGCGTCTTTGCAGTTATTTCTTTACATCTCGGTAGTCTTATGATAGTCCTATGCTTATCACCACAATTCGAACCAGGATTTTCTTTGCTAAGCAAGGCGGTTTTTAAGAGACTCACACAGTCATTAAGCAAATCTGGCTTCCCCCAATAACTTTCCTTGACTTTGCTGGAGGTCGACAAACGACCCTGGATTGCTGCAAACGTTGTAAACACGTGCCAGTTGACAAAAGCCAAAATTTTGATCACATGACTGTGGGGATGCTGTGATGGTCATAAGTGTGAGAATTCTCCATAAGCCAATTTCTTCACTACCACTGTAACTTTGAACCATCATTATTGAACAATTGTAAGTTGAGGACAACCTATACATAAAATGGCTAACAGATTGAATGAAAAGCTACAGTTGTAAAAAGTGACTATAGAAGATTAGTTCCTGGAAACTGTTTTCTAAGTAGCGAAGAGTTCACGCAGAAGTAGCTCAGTCTGCCAAACTGATTTCTTCCAGGCTGTGGCCCTGCACATTTCATGTGATGGAAAAGAAACCGCTTTTAAAATGTTTTGCAAAGGAGAAGAACATTTTGTGAAATGGCTGAGATGAGTCATTGGCTACTTGCGCTGAAGATAGTTCTAAGCGATCTAAGACAAAAGAGGTTGCATGCATATCCTGTCTTGTATTGATTTATAACCTGCAGGTTTATTGATTTATTTGTATCCCACCTTTCCCTGTTCCATTCCAAGGAAAATCCTCCAGAAGAACCATCTTAAGTCAGGAAGCAAATACAGCCAGAGAGAAAGGACTGTAAAAGAATAGCACGGAAACAGAAGGAAGGCAACAAATAACCTCATGAACTTGATCCTCATGAAACAATAAAGTAAACTCAAGAACAAACAAATCCTCTGGCACCCCAAATGAGTTAAGAGAAAGAAAAGCTTGTCTTGTCTTGGCAAATAGATAGATTTTGGTATGAAGGTACACAAGGAGAGGCCTTATTGAAGAAAATCCAGATTGAGACCTTTATTCAATTATTAGCCCTCCCAGGGCAACTTTCCTCATAGGTCAAATTATTTATTTATTTATTTTATTTTTATTTATTTATTTTATTTTTATTTATTTATTTTATCAAATGATTATAATACAACAGGTATACGTATAAACATAGTTATGAATACATGAAATGAATACATATAAGAAAAATAGAAGAAACAATAGGGCAGGGACAGTAGGCACAATTGGTGCGCTTATGCACGCCTCCTACAGACCTCTTAGGAAAGGGGTGAGGTCAATAGTAGACAGTCTGAGGTTAAAGTTTTTGGGGTTTGGGGAAGAAACCACAGAGTGAGGTAGAGTATTCCAGACATTGACCACTCTGTTGCTGAAGTTGTATTTCCTGCAATCAAGTTTGGTGTGGTTAACCTTGAGTTTGTATCTATTGTGTTCTCTTGTATTGTTATAGTTGAAGCTGAAGTATTCATTGACAGGTAGGACATTGCAATGTATAATTGTATATACTATACTTAGATCGGACCGAAGGCGGCTTAGTTCTTGGTTTCCTAGGTCTAGAATTTCAAGTCTGGTGGCATAAGGTATTCTGCAATGAGTAGAGGAGTGGAGAACTCTTCTTGTGAAATATTTCTGGACTTTTTCAACTGTGTTAATATCAGATACATAATGCGGGTTCCAGATTGATGAGCTGTATTCAAGTATTGGTCTAGCAAATGTTTTGTATGCTCTAGTTAGTAGTGTGATATTACCAGAGAAAAAGCTACGTAGGATTAGGTTAACATCTCTTAATGCTTTTTTGGCTATGTAGTTACAATAGGCTCTAGCACTAATTAGAGGAAATTATGTACAAATGATGAAAAAAGAAAGAAGGAAGGAAGGAAGGAAGGAAGGAAGGAAGGAAGGAAGGAAGGAAGGAAGGAAAGAAAGAAAGAAAGAAAGAAAGAAAGAAAGAAAGAAAGAAAGAAAGAAAGAAAGAAAGAAGAGAAGGAAAAGGAGAAGAAGACGAAGAAGAAGAGGAGGAGGGGGAGGGGAAGGAAGAGGAAGAAGAAGAAGAAGAAGAAGAAGAAGAAGAAGAAGAAGAAGAAGAAACAACAACAATTGCAATTATACTGCTTCCCCAAATCTGATTTTACTGCAGTTTAGGAGCTCCCCCTTAGTCCTTACCAAGCCACATCCGGAGGAGGGAAAGCATCCACCTTCCAAGCCAGCTTCTGTACTTTTTGTCCTGCATGGGCCTCATAATACAGTTGTTGCCTCTTTTTGACAAAATTAATGAAAGCTTGTTCTTCAATAAATGAGAAAAAGAATAGAGTTAATTCCTTTTCAAAACCATCAGATTTTTTTTTTTTGCTGGACATCAAAATAACACATGTAAAAGAACAAATCAGAAAAGAAGACAACCAGGCAGATGTGAAATGGGAAAAACAAGAAACTGACTGGCCACAGTTACAGATTTAAAGCATGTGGTATTTATTTTGCATATGTGCAGTGAAATTTTATTAATTTGAGTCTGAGGTACGGTTTGATCTGAAGACAATTGTGAAGAAGATCCAATGTATGAAAGCAATAGGGACATTTTGGAAACATCCATTCTAAAGTGAAGGCAATAATAATATACAGGCACTATCTTTTCTGGACAGTATTTCTTTTAACCCTTGAATTAATGGGTTTTTTCATAGCACACACTCCATTTTTTTCCTGACCCACAATTGGGTAATTATTAAAATATATCAGCCACACACAGCAGCAGATGGTCCATGACCAGGAAGTGTGATTTCTGTTTGACTTCAGCTGTGAACATGATATTTTTCAAAATGACAAGACATTATGAAACATTTCTGGAATTTCTTGAAGATATTACAAGAATGAAAAGGTCTATCATTCCTTGGGTGATCTGGTACTCGTAGTCCTCAACTTACGACAGTTCATTTGGAGACTGTTCAAAGTTACAACAGCCCTGAAAAAAGGGACTAATGATCATTGTTCATATTTATGACTGCTGCAGCAATGCCAGGGTCATGAGATCAAAATTCAGACCCTTGGCCACTGATTCATATTAACAGCCATGTTGCTAACTTAACAACTGCAATGCTTCATTTAACAACTGCAGTAAGAAATGTCGTAAAAGGAGGCAAAACTCACTTAACAAACAGAAATTTTGTACTCAATTGCGGTCGTAAGTCAAGGACCACCTGTACTTTCAAGTCATACATAGGTGTAACTTTGGAATATTGTGTGATATTTTCCCTGGATGGACCCCCTGACTAGATTAGGATCTAAAACTGACGATACCATGATGAATGGCGACGCTAAACCACAGAGAAAGTGATATAAGCCAGAGTTTCTCCACCTTGGTAACTTTAAGGTGTATGGACTTCAACTCCCAGAATTCCCCAGGCAGCTCTGTTGGTTGAGGAATTCTGGCAGTTGCAGTCCATACACCTTAAAGTTGCCCAGGTTGAGAAACACCTATATCAGCAATTAAGAAGTTGATGGAACAGAGGACACCACTTATTTTTATCCATCAACGTTGACAATATTTGTTAAAAAAAATAAATAAACACCTCTCAACATCAAGCAAACAACTTCAGGGTAAGTTAACTGAGTTGCGGAAGTTGGAAATGCTGAATCTGCTGCCTCTGGTGATGAATGAGTATTTTAAGTCATCCCTGAGTTGAAAGGATTGAGAAGGGAGCTATGTTGGCTTGGCCAGGGTCTTATCAGCGAGGAAGGCTCTCCTAAAACAGTTGTACCAGCAGCCTATCAATATACCAGCTTGTAGAAAAATGGCATGTTCTGACTGCATCTCTTTTGACATCTCAGTTTTCCCATTTTTGTGGTCGTTCTTACTGAATATTGTGACCGTGGTATTGACTTCTATGCCTCCTTTGCCCATATTGAACACTTTGCAGATGTAATGCCCTTTGTCTTCCATTGTGACATTCGTGATAGTCACGTTGCTAGAGCTTTCATAGAAGTCCTGGTCAAACGTCTTTCCTGGCCTTAGTTCCTAGAAAAGAACAAGAGAGAGGCATAGAAAAATGTCCACCAAACTCACTTTAAAAGGATCTCAAAAAAGAAGCTATAGAGGGGAGTATCACGGTATCTTTCGCTAGGATTGATGGGAGTAGACTTCAAGAGCTGTGGTGGTTATATTGCAGTATTGAAGACTAACTGTGCCCACTGCCAGCAGTTCGATCCTGACCAGCTCAAGGTTAACTCAGCCTTCCATCCTTCTGAGGTTAGTAAAATGACCTAGTTTGCTGAAGGCAATGCTGACTCTGTAAACAGTAATGAAGCGGTATATAAGTGCTAGTGCTAGCTAAGGGTTTTAGAAGGTGACTAGGGATTTCCTTCTTTCTGTTTTAAGGTTTAAAAGACTGTACTGTACCACCAGGTGTTTCAAGGAGTAATTTCCTTGTCTGGTTTCAAAAAGAGATCCAATCCTTTAAAGTGTTTTAATATCTTTTTAACATATTTATGTAGGGGTTATTAATCATTCTTTCCATGCTTATTTATATGGACCCAAGGATTTTCAGTAGACCTGCCCTGATGTTGAAGTCGTCCTCAACTTACAACAGTTCATTTAGTGACCATTTGAAGTTACAATGAAGTTACAATGGCACTGAAAAAAGTGACATGATCGTTTTTCACAATGGTCATTTTTGACCATTGCAGCATCCCCATGGCCACGTGATCAAAATTCAGACACTTGGCAATTGGTTCATATTTATGATGGTTGCATCTCCTGGGGTCATGTGATCACCTTTTTCAACCTTCTGACAAGCAAACTCAATGAAGAAGCTGGATTCACTTAACAACCGTGTTGCTAACTTAATAACTGCAGTGATCCACTTAACAACTCTGGCAAGGGTGGTCATAAACCCTTGGACAACAAAGGGGTAAAACTCACTTCAAAAATGTCACAAATCTGGTGCTCAGTTGTGCTCATAATTCGAGGGCTACCTATAGTGAAAGCCCCTTGGTCAACAAAGGACAGCTGAATAGTTACTTAAGAAAGCTAACCAACATTCAGCAGATTCATTTCGGAAGAACCAAGGAAACAGATCTTCAGAAAAGAGAAAACACACTTGGAGCAGGCCAAGGTCTTCCGTCAACTAAGAGACTCACCCTGTTTCCTGGAAATTTCCAAAGAAATTGTAACCGTCCATTCCAGTACACCTGCCCTTTGCATTCCAAACGAAGGGTCTCTCCAACCAGGAGTTTTTGGGGAGTTGCTTTCAGAACCACGTTCCGAATCCGCATCTCTAAAAGAAATAAGAAAGTCAATGATGAAGCATCTCCTCCAGCAACATCGAGTATCACATACAGAATCAACATATTTGATGGGCCTTCAGTCGTATCTTTTAATGGAGAGCATCTAGCTTTGAGGAGTGTTTATGGAGACAAATGCATTTGATTTCCATAACTGGAATCAGGCTTAGTGCAGAATATATAGGTAGTCCTTGGCTTACAACAGTTTGTTTAGCGATCATTTGAAGTTACAATGGCATTGAAGTGACTTATGACCATTTTTCGTACTTATAACCGTTGCAGCATCCCCATGGTCAGGTGATTTACATTCAGATGCTTGACAACTGTTTTATATTTATGACAGTTGCAATGCCCTGGGGTCCCTTTTGTGACTTTTTAACAAGCAAACTCAATGGGGTTGGGGTTTGGGTGGGATTCACTTAACAAATGCGACAAGGAAAAAAATGGGGGCAAAACTAGCTTAACAAATGTCTTATCTAGCACCATCAATTTTGGGCTCAATGTGGTCATAAGTCGAGGACTACTGGTAGTCCAGCAATGGGAAATTATGTCCAAAAAGGACATTTTCAGCACCTGGAGCAAAAGCAGTCATCCACTCACCCACTTTCGAAGTCAAATAACGTGTCTCATATTGGGCCCCGTTGACTGTAGCAACACATTTGATCACTCTATTAAAGAACTCAGTGGAGGGTGAAGTGATTGTGAATCCTTTCTTTGGGTCCCATTCCTTCCTCTCATAGGTGAGAGGATAGGGAGATTGATGCTAAAGAAGAAAAAGCAAATATAAAGATAGTAGTTTTTGTCTGAGATAAAACTACTGTCAAGACTTTCACCTACATTCAGCTTCGCTCACAGTTTGACAGAGAATAGGCATATGGTGGTTGGAATGCAAGGGTGAAGGGAATGGCATCCAAGCATCCTCGGTTCCCATGAGACATTGCTCTCCCCTCAAGGATAACCCGAGCAGATATCCCAGTGTGACCATCTGGTTCCCATAACAAAATGAACAGAAAGAACAGAACAGAACAGAATAGAATAGAATTCTTTATTGGTCAAGTGTGATTGGACCCACAAGGAATTTGTCTTGGTGCAAATGCTCTCAGTGCACATAAAAGAAAAGATACAACCGTCAAGAGTCAAGAATCATCAGGTACAACACTTAATAATAGTCATAAGGTACAATAAGCAATCAAATCGATTTGGTGGATGTAATGGACTTTGGGTGGTCTGTGGGGAAAGGAGGAATGAATTATGCATGCTTTTGTGTGGGTAGCTCCAAGTAAGTGCTAACTCATGAATGAAGGCAAATATATGTGTCCCTATTGTCTACTATTGACCTCACCCCTTTCCTAAGAGGTCTGTAATGGGGCGTGCATAAGCGCACCAATGTGCCTACCATCCCTGTCCTATTGAATCTTTTATTTTTCTTATATGTATCCATGTATTCATAACTATGTTTATACTTATACCTATTATCTTATAAGCGATTGACAAACCAAATCAAATCAATAAAATAAAATATGTGTCCCAGGATAATGTTTCAGGACCCAATCTGGCTCGGTCACCAGGGCCAGAGGTTTACTCCTCCAAGCTTTTGGACTCATGATGGAGCCCATCCTCAAGGAACTTCTCTTTACCAGAATGTCTTCATGAGCTCCAGCATGAATCCAAAAGTTTGGAAGAGTAAACCTCTAGTCCTAATGACCAACCCAGATTGGAACCTACGAGTGTTAGCCATTAGTTGAGAATATTCCTGTGCATAGGCATGAGTAGCAATAAATCAGTTTAACTCGACCTTCACATGTGGACCTGGTCCTTTGTGCTTGACACGAGTTCAGTTCTGTTCAGACCCATCTCTTGTCTCTATTTCTTCACTTAAGGAGCAATGAATCACTCATTGTAATTCTCCAATTCAATCACTGTCACCTTCAAATACAACCTCAGAGATTCTGCCTGAGATTCTGGATTAACTCTAGATTGCTGCCAATCAAGCCAAGAACACTGAATTATACTGATTAATAGATCATATCAGTGGTGGGATTCATTTTCTTTTTACTACCAGTTCTGTGGGTGTGGCTTGGTGGGTGTGGCAGAGGAAGGATACTGAAAAATCTCCAGTCAGAGGTGGCATTTGCCAGTTTTATTTTATTTTATTTATTTTTATTTGTCAATTGCTTACAAGATAATAGGTATAAGTAAAAACATAGTTATGAATACATGGCTACATATAAGAACAATTAAAAAAATATAAAAGAACTATTCAAAATTTCCGCTACCAGTTCTCCAGAATTGGTCAGAACCTGCTGAATGCCACCTCTGGATTGAATCAGTTGTTCTGTCCAATATACCATAACCTAACCCAGGGCTGCTCAACCTTGACCAGTTTAAGATGGGTGGACTTCAGCTGCTAGAATTCTCCAGCCCTACATGTTGCACAAAGCCAACCACATGGCTAGTTTCTGGATCAATATACCCTAACACCTAGAAATTGGGAATAGTTAAGTGAGTCATAATTTTCTTAACATGGTTAAGTACAGTGGGCAGTTATACAGTTATCATAAGCTAGCTTTCTATGATCTGAATTTATATTACTTTATTTTGGGCATCATGTGTTATTTCAAGAGAGAGTCTTAAAGGTGTATGCAGTGTAGCTAAGTAAAAAAATAAATTTAAGCAGCCAAGCAATAGTATGATAGTTTTTTTTTAACAGCAAAAAAGGACAAAAGAAAGAACTTCTGGGTGGGACCTGCATGCTAGATGTCTGAACCATCTTCATCATCCTTATTGATTCTGGTTGGTGGTATGATGAACAGACATTAGTCACTCCTCTAGTTAATCACGAGAACCTAGCCCCTATGGTTTGTAAACCATGATTTTTACCTTAGTGCAGGAGTCTCCAAACTTCGCAATTTAAGACTTGTAGAGTTCAGCTCCCAGAATTCTGGAAGTTGAAGTCCACAAGTCTTAAAGTTGCCAAGTTTGGAAGGCTCTGGCTTTGTGTAACAACTGTTATTTCCTTTTCCAGGATGACAATCTGCCCTGAACTACAACTTGCATGTGTATCTGGACCTTGTACAAGCTTCCCAAGTGCATCTTGCAAAAACTTGCCTACTGTAGAGGGACAAGCATTCTATGTTCCTGGAACAAAAAGCTGAGTTCCTCCTCAACCATAAGGGCTATCATCAGTCAGTTTCCTGTCCCAACTGATTTGGGCTGGAACAACAAGGATATCTGGAATCCTGCTATGTCCCTCTGTAGTTTGGTGTGCTTCACTTTCTCACCTCCAGGGTCTTCCTCCATCCTAACTTATCCTTCACGCCCTATTATGAACTTTGTCTCGCATACCTACAAGGTCCAATCACTGCTGTCCCCAAACTATGGATGTCATCATCACTGGCCACTGAGACCTGTTCTTCCAACTTGTGTCCTTATAATCCCCTGGAAAAGATGACCTGGGACAGCGCTTCATGTTAAGCCAAGCTATTCATTCTTCTACGTTGGCTGCAGCTTGAAGAGGACTTTGGATTAAAAGTCGGGGCCTTGAAGCTGCAGAAGAACAACCGAGCAAGCAGTGTAGTCACAAAAGTTTAATTTTTAGTCTTACAAATCTTTTCTCTTCCGAACCCTACAATAGTACTATATTTCAAGGGAATAAGGGTGGAACTCCTATTTCTTTCTCTTGTAGGGGGTGGGGATAAGGTGGTGGTCTCTTGCCTTTTATGCAAGTTGACATAGAAACCCATTTGTCTTCTGGGTATTTCTATCTATAGGTGAGGAAAGGAAACTGTTTAGAAGCAACAGTGTGTTTTTCTTGGTTATTGGAGCTCGACTCTCTCTCTCTCTCTCTCTCTCTCTCTCTCTCTCTCTCTCTCTCTCTCTCCCTCCCTCCTCTATTTCTCATCTGTCTCCTTCTCTCTCACCAGCCAGCTATCTAGTTATGTGGTATTTATTTCTCTATCACTAATATTTGTCTGTCTTTCTCTCTGTCTCTCTCCCCTTCATATTTTTCTTTTGCTATAAAAATATTTTTCCTGCTTTTAGATGGTAATTTCATTGTAAAATGCAAAGAAGAGAAAATTTAATTGGCCTCATCTACATTTTAGGATGAAGGTTATTCCTAGTTTGCAGTCAAAATGAAGATTTAGTGGATCATGCTAAAAATGATTAGTTAAGGTATCCCAAAGTGGCTGGAGTTGGCAGCATTAAACCGGAACACATTTTTGAAAAGGAAAAAAATCCTATAATCTCATGACTGAAGGAGCCCTTTCTATATGCAACCCACGTAGAAATTGGGGAAGGGCTTTGATACTGTGAGCCTCCTTGATTTTTTTGACTCTCTCCCCATGGATGACCCAGCTCCAATAGATCCCTTTCCTATATTAATAGCATTTTTGGCAAAGTGTCGTGGCAGTTTAGGGCAAACTTGAGTGATTCCGAGCAGGCTTAATTTCCTTTCTGAGGTTTTCGCAGGCCCCCTGGGGAAGAGGAACAGCCTACATGGTTTTGTTCGACATTAATTTTAGATACATATTATGTGTGTATTGTGTGTATATTCAAAAGCCTGAATTTCAAGCGCAGCTCAAGCATTAATCACAATCAGCTGACACAAAGAATGAGCTGCTTTCTAGCATTAGCAACCTCTCCAATTCCCCATAAATATCTAAGGAGGATAGAGGGCAGCCGTTTTAAAGGATAATGGAAACACCAGAATTGTAATTTACAAGGGGCAAACTATGTTGTTTCAGAAATTGTGAAACTGAATGGTGCTGAATATTTAAAACTCTGCATTTGAGGATCTCCTGATGATCAGATTTAAAATATATATGTACAGAAACATTGCATATATATATATATATATGATGGATAGACATACACCCCATATTTCACATATTAAATGAAATTGCTTGTGCAATATTCAAAAGTTGTTATGAAAGGAGAAAAGGAGTCGCAGCTGATTTTACCCCAACCTTCAAAAGACCCTGGTTGCTATTTTTCCTCCCTCTCTTTCCTGCCGTTTTATCTGTGAATAGTTATTAAATTTGGAGGAGGATGTTCTAAATTTGTCAAACCGTCAGGCTCCTTCCTTCCCTACCCCCACTTCAGTTTCCTGTGAGTAAAGGAAGCCGCCAACCTGGCTCCACACGTAGTATTTCCAGACAAGGCCAAAATAACAAGGCAGCTTTCCTTAAATGGGAACAGAAGGATGGGCGCCCAAGGTAAACACACCTCTACAGAAAGCCTTATCCGCTTTCCTGGAGATGTCTCTCAAGCCAGCAGAAGAGACCCCTTCCTTTTGGGATCTGAATGTCAGCCCCCACCCCACCCCTCCTGTCTCTTTCAAAGGAGGAAGAACAGTCTTTGGCCCAGACGTCCCAGCAGCCTGAAATGGAAATATCTGCCCATCCTTCTGAAGGTCTAGGACAAGGTCCCAGTTCAAGACTGAGCAACAAATGAAAAAGGTTTGACTCGGTTCCAAAGATGGGGAAGATCAGAAACCAGGCTTCTGAACTCCTTTCCCTTTCCTTAAGGAGATGTTACCTTCAGGTTTCAGAGTGGCTGCTAAGCTGGTATTAATTCTCCATATATTTTGACAAAAGTCAATAGAGATGTTAAGCCAAGGCTTTCAGGAAGCCAAAGCTCTTGCTACACCAGCCAAGAAGGAGAGAGAAGAAAAAAGTCAAGAAGGGGTTTAATTTCAAGATTATGAAAATGTGTGTACTTCTGTGTGTGTGTGTGTATGTTTTGAACTGAGTACTTTGAGAAGGAAAATTGCTCTCTTTGTAAGAAAGTACTGTTTCATTAAAATTAAAGAAGTTTCTCATTCTTGCCAATTTTTATTACTTTGGCAGCTACCAAATATTATGAGTAACATGCTGCTACTGTTAACCATCAAAGATTGCCAGCTCCCGTTGCCTGTTTAGTTATACAGAGCATCAAACACCACCCCACAACTACTCTAAAACCCATGGTAAATACCAACAATCAAACACAGATGAAATGGCCATTATTAGTCTGTATTCAAGACTTTGAGATTGGCTGAAGATCATTCTATATAAAAAAACAGCTTTTAAGAAGCAAGGGGTGACTTCTGGAAAAAAATTGCCTCATGAGAAGAGTATGAAGCAACTTAATACACATAATTATACTCTTGGAAGTACAGTGGTATTCTGCTTATTTGTCAGCTTCTTTACTCCACAGAAAGAGTGACTGTGAGTTAAATCTACATGATAGCAAACTCAGCTATGGTAGGACAAATTTTATGGTGGTCTTCCTAAAGCTGTTTCATAACTGGAGGCAGAGAAAGTGCTAGTGCAGTACAGCAGTATTTTTTGGTATGCATATCTGCTTCACTTTAAAACTTCCAAGGCTGCCCATGTATCTAATCTGAGAAAGCCTCATGAGGGCTTCTCTTGAGGTTGGAGGAAAGACAGGGAAACCAGGGAGGCTGTAGGCTACTGAGAGGACAATAATACAACAAAAGCACAACACTCACACACAATCCTTAGAATCATAGGGCTGGAAGGAACCTTAGAGGTCTTCTAGTACAACTCCCTTCCCAAGGCAGGAGTCCTATCCCAGAAAAATGGTTGTCCAATCTTTTTTTAAAAACCACCAGTGATGGAGACCACAAGGAGGCAAGCTTCTTGGACTTCCAGTTGTTCTTCTGTCGTGGTCGAAGCGGAATCTGTGATCGTGCATGGTTTCACTTCAAGCTCTCTTGTTGGAGAGTTCCAATTGGTATCGGAACCACCCTGGGGTGGTGGTGAAGAAAGGGGGAATCAGTTGGAGAGTTGAGGGGATCTCCCCTCCCTGACAAGAAAACCTCCCTCCAAAGACAAGTTGCAGAGGTGGTCAGAAATGAAAACAGGAAGCAGTCCAGGAAATAAGACTGTGCTGGAGAGGTGAAGTTGAGAGTGGAATGTGAACCAGGCTAAACATTTGGATATTAAGGGATCCCAGAATTAAGAAATAAAGGAACTTTTTGGATCAAAGTGTGTAGAAGCGGTGACCAGAGAGAGAAAGAAGGAAATTGGAACTCATAAAACTGGCTTTGAATGTTGAAAAGAATTAATTTGGAAGTGAAAATTTAGAGGAAAATATTTGATCACAAAAGGCTTGGAAATTAAATTGGATAATTATTGGATTTTTGGCACTAAATAGGCATAAGTAAATGCTGGAATTGAATGTCAGGAAAATAAATAATAGCTAATAACTGGAATAGTGAAATTAATAAAAGTTTTATTTTAAAAAAGAAGGAAGAAGTGAAAGAAAAGGTGGAACATGGAAATAGAATTAAGAGCACCAACTAATGGCACAGGAAAAATTTCAGTGACTTTTTAAAGTGTTTAGTCTTTTTGAAATTGACTTGGAACTTAAAAGAAAATAAGAGGAACTTCATTATAATAAAATTAAAACTCTGAAAACTGAAACAATAGAATACTACAAAGGATAAGACTTTTGAAGAAATTGCTTTGGACATTTGGACAATTGGACAATTGGACAATGGACAATTGCTACCCGGTGACATTGGAAAAAATCTGGGAAAGAAACCAATCAAAGACTCATGGACATTGATTGTTGAAATTAAATATAAAAAATGCTGGTTGAAATAATTTACTGGAGATTAGGATTGGATATAATTATTAAGGAATGGGAAAAAGGAGCATCCTAAAAAATGGAAGAATTATTCGTGGAAATGAGACTGGATTTACAAGATAGGAAAGAAATGATGAAAGCAAATCTGGAAAAGTGCAGCGATATATTACAAAAATTAGAAATGGCGATTCAAATGGAAGAAGAACGAAGAGAACCAGAGAGGGAGAAATAAAGAGGAAACCAGCTTTGAAGATCAAATGGAACAATGAGCATTCAAACGTGGGGAAATTAAAATTAAAAATTTGTGGTTAGAGGTGATAGTGAAAGGGGGAATGGTTCAGAAATCTAAACAAAGGAAAGGGAAAAAGCAGAAGAGGGAATTACGGAAAAAATATCGAGAGAGGGAGGGGGATAAAATAGATGATTGCAATAAGAAATGGAGGGAAATAATAATGGGAAAAGGGGGAATTAAGAGAAAGGACCAGAAAATAAAGAGAAACAGGAAGCAATCAATAATGAAAAGAAATTGCATTGTTAGGAAGATGAGAGACAATGGGTAAAAGAATAATAGGGAAGAAGATTCTGCAAGGTAAGGTCTTGTGATATATAAGAATAAGGATTTAAAAATGGATAAGATAGGAACTGATTTTTTTTCTTTTTTCTTTTCTTTAAGGATTATTGTAATACCAGATATAAATTTTATTGAAATAGACATTTGATAATCAGCAATGTATAAAATTAAAATAAAATAATATGATAAAATATTCCAAAGTGTGGCCTCACTGGTGCGGTATTAAGCAGTGCTATTACCTCCCGTGATCTTGATGCTATTTCTCTGTTAATACAGTCTTGAACCACATTGACTTTTTTGGCAGCTGCACCACACTGCTGGCTCATACTTAAGCAGTGTTCCATCTAGATCCATTTCACAGGCATTACTTAGTTGCTTTATAACTGAAACAATATTATTCTCCACTCTCAAGAATGTCATCCAAAGTCTATTCTTTTCCAAAGAAAATTGGAAAGCAGGTTCTATTAAGTGAGAACCAATAGGGAAAAAGGGAGAGAGAAAAATTCCACGTGGCATAAAATTAAAGCACCCTCTTCTTAGGGCTGGTGCCCTGTATTACCTTGCCATAAAACAGTTCTGCTTCTCCTTCTGTCTTTCAGAAAGGGAACAAGAATCAGGGAACAAGAATCATATTCTACCTCCTTCTTTTCAAGAGTACCCAGAAAATTTTCAAGAGCACCCAAAGCCATCTTGAAATCCTAATTTGGAGAAATTTTGGATTTTGCTTCAAGCAAAATCGTGGTTGAAGACCAGGATTCTGGTTGAGAATAATGGATTATTTCTGAGGTGGATCCTTTCTGGAATAGATTCCAGCAAATGTTCTTCCAGGGGGAAAAAAAGGAGCCCAGAATAAAACACAAATAGAAATTGCACTTACCTAAGAAACTCTTCAAGATATGCCCAAAATACATAATCTTCCTTTTGCTATCATGCTTAAAATGTTTGAAAATCAACAGCTAAAAGGTGCCCATTACTAAGTAAATTAATCTCCCTTTGTCCATTTATTAATAGTTACCCTTGAAAGCTAACCTATTTGATGAAGGTTGTGAGAAGATTCGGAAATAAACGAAGACAATGTAATGCTTACCAGCAGCAGCTCCGGTTTGATCTCTGGGGAAGTGACACGGCATGGCACATTGATAGCTTCTGTATTGTTGTGCACATTGATGAGGTCCGGAATTTTTGGGTGGGGTTGCACAAAAGGCTGTGACTGATCTGCAGGGACACAAAAATGGAACATCACAAGTGTGCAGAGAAGCAAGCCTGTTGGGTTGCTTGAAAGAAATTACCTGCTATTCATCCTTAATTTTTACATCCAAAGTAGAATAGATTATGAGATTGTGATTCTGACTGAGATCAGCTGTTGAGGCTTAGTTAATCATTTTGGGGAGAAAACCTTGGCAAAGCCAGATTCACTCTTTCTCAACTCACATATGACACTATATTCTAACATTTGCCAGCTGAAAATAGCATCTGAAACCGTGGAGATATCTTATGCTAGGAAACTGATAAATGCAACCAGCTTACAACTTAGGTCTTCAAGGAATGTTACTTTCCTTGCTTATTTCAATTCAATTGTTTATTATAATCATACATAGAAACCATAACAAATAAAAAGTAAATATACAGTTAAAAATTCTAGTATAAAATAATAACAACTAAAATCTATGATAAAATCCAGTCTGTCAATTATACATGGTCTAACTATACTAAAATTACAATCCATAAAATGTGTGGCCTGTTGTCAGTTTAATACTGAAAGGGAAAGGAATAAGCAGTGCAAAGGATTTGCCACATTTGTTGTATAACATAACTATAGTGGATTAGACACGTGTTTCCGATGAATCCCCAGTGCTGCTCACAGAATCTGGCCACCTGTGCTGTAGTTATGGACTCTTCTTCCTTAAGCAGCCACTGGAGATACCTAGCAATTATTGGCAGAATATGTTTTTTCCAAATCTCTCAGGTCTTCAAGGAATGTTACTTTCTTTGCTTATTTCCAATTTTTCTTGGAGAAGAGAAGGACACAATGACCCTTTCTTTGCAGGCCCCTGGAACTCTTTCTCAATGTTAAAGAAAAAAAAGCAGTGATGGAATGAGTAGATCAGCACAATAAGACTTGTTTTTCCAAATAGGTGTTATTGCAAAGATACAATCATGTTTTCAGCATCTACATTGCTGGACAGTTCCCTGATGCAACTCTACAGACAGCTTCATCTGTCAGGGCGGAAACTACATTGAGGGGTCCTTGGTGTTCTCTGAGCTTTGATTGTTTTCTTTTTTAATTATTTATTTATCTTGATTTGTCAATTGCTTACAAGATAATAGGTATAAGTATATACATAGTTATGAATACGTGAAATGAATACATATAAGAAAAATAAAAGAAACAATAGGACAGGGACGGTAGGCATGTTGGGGCGCTTATGCACGCCCCCTACAGACCTCTTCGGAAAGGGGTGAGGTCAATAGTAGACAGTCTAAGGTTAAAGTTTTTGGGGTTTGGGGAAGAAACCACAGAGTGAGGTAGAGTATTCCAGACATTGACCACTCTGTGGCTGAAGTTGTATTTCCTGCAATAAAGTTTGGTGTGGTTAACCTTGAGTTTGTATCTATTGTGTGCTCTTGTGTTGTTATAGTTGAAGCTGACGTATTCATTGACAGGTAAGTCATTGCAATGTATGATTTTGTATACCATACTTAGATCAGACCGAAGACGGCGTAATTCAAGGTTTTCTAGGTCTAGAATTTCAAGTCTGGTGGCATAAGGTATTCTACAATGAGTAGAGGAGTGGAGAACTCTTCTTGTGAAATATTTCTGGACTTTCTCAACTGTGCTAATATCAGGTACGTAATGTGGGTTCCAGACTGATGAGCTGTATTCGAGTATTGGTCTAGCAAATGTTTTGTATGCTCTAGTTAGTAGTGTGATATTACCAGAGAAAAGGCTATGTAAGATTAGGTTAACAACTCTTAATGCCTTTTTCACTATGTAGTTACAGTGAGCTCTAGCACTTAGATCATTAGAGATGAGTACTCCAAGGTCCTTTACAGAGCTTGGATCATCAACAAGGTCTTGACTATTCAGCTTGTATTTTATTTTCTGATTTTTTTTGCCAATATGTAAGACAGAGCATTTATTTGTTGAGATTTGAAGTTGCCATTTGATTGACCATTCTGATACATAGTCAAGGTCTTTTTGGAGGGTAGCTGTATTGTTTGTGGTGTTGAATAGCTTTACATCATCAGCGAAGAGAATGCAATTGCTCTTAATGTGATCACAGAGGTCTTTTATGTAGAGTATGAAGAGAGTTGGTCCTAGAACACTGCCTTGGGGAACACCCAGTTATGCAGTTATCCAGAGATTCTTGCAGATGTTTCATTACCCAAACTAGGTAACATCATCAGATGATATTCCCTAGTGGTAATGAAATGTCTGCAAGGAAACAACCAAGCTCAGAGAGCACCAAGGACCCCTCATTTCCACCCTGAGTTACAAATTACTTTATTTAGCCAAATGTGATTAGACACACAAGGAATTTGTCTCCAATGCAGAAGCTCTCAATGTACATGCAAAGCAAGAGAGTATAATAATTATAATAATGATACTAATAAGAGGGGGTAGTAGAAAAGATGAGAAGGATAATGGTAATACAGTCCTACCACATGGGTAAATATCCTTAGGCATAAGAAAGTTCTGTGGGAATTAGGTATTCAGCAGAGTGATGGCCCGGGGAAAAATACTGTCCCTTATTCAGTTATTTTGGCATGCAACGCCCTATAGCAATGCCTCAAGGGGAGGAATTGTGAAGGTTCTGTAGATATTTTCTCAGCCCTCTTTCTGACCCGTGCAGTATACAGGCCCTCAGTGGAAGACAGGCTGGTTGCAATTGTTTTTTCTGCAGTCCTAACTATCCACTGAAGTTTGTACCTGTCCTGTTGGGTTGCTGCATCAAACTAGACAGTTATAGAGATACAAAAAACAGACTTTGTAGAACTGTATCAGCAGCTCCTTGGGCAATCTGAGCTTTATGAGTTGATGCAGGAAGAACATTTTTGTTGTGCCTTTTAATGATGGTTCTAATGTTAAGCACTCATTTCAGCTCCTGGGAGATTATAGAACCAGAAACCTGAAGGATTCTATTGCTGATACTGTGCTATATATAGTATAATACAGTAAGAGGTGGTAGGATAGGAGGGCTCTTTCTAAATATTCTTCTTAATTAAAAAAAAGTACATTCCATCCCAGCTTCTCTCAACTTGTGCCTTCCGGATATGTAGACATCAACTCTCATCAGCCATAGCCAATGCAGCCAAGCTGAGAAATACACGTTGTTGTTATTGTTTTGGTCACAAGGTATTGCATTTCTCATGGGTGAGGATTGAGAATTACAGTGGGTGGACTGACAAGGACACCCCATTATTGCAACCCCTTCGTTTTTAAAACTGGATTAGCTGACTTAATGGCTTACACAATATCTTACTGTCTCCCTCCTTAAAATGGAGCAATTTTTGGCAATTTCACTAATGAAATTCATTTTTGGAGTTAAAAGAGTTTGCAGAGCTAAAAAAAAAAAAAAGAAGGCAGTCTGTGCTTGGATTGTGCTATTCTTTAGTTTGGCTTTCTGCCTAGCAAGATAATCCATTATTATGGGTTGGTAAAGATAGAAACAGTTTTGATGGATGTCAATTATTCTAGGCCAGTGTTTTCTTAATCTTAGCCATTTTAAGATGAGTGGACTTCAGCTCCCAAAATCCCCCAGCCAGCTATGCTGGGAGTTGATGTCCACCCCATACTGGATGGGGGATTCTTTAAGATTCTACCCATCTTAAAGTGCCTAAGCCCTAAGACAGGGGTGTCCAACCTTGGCAACTTTAAGACTTGTGGACTTCAACTTCCAGAATTCCTCAGCCAGCTTTGCTGGCTGAGGAATTCTGGAAGTTGAAGTCCACAAGTCTTAAAGTTGCCAAGGTTGGACACCCCTGCCCTAAGACGTTTGGTTTGGCATTCCCATATGAGACTCCTTATAATTAGCACACAGTGACAATGGTTTTGCTATAGTTTGTACTTTTAAAATTAGTACTTGATGATGGAAGACAGATATCAAACAAACTGGGGAAATCATTGAGGCTGATCAGCATCACAAAAATTATCCTTCTCACCACTTGAGGGTGCAGTTAAGGTGACTTTACAACATTCAAGTATTGTACTTCTCTTGCTAATGGAACTCTACAAATGGTCTGTTCACTTTTACATCCAGGTTAGGGGAAATGAGGCGGGAGAAGACAAAACTGGAGGTCCAAAAGAGGGGGTGTGGCTTCACCTTTATTGTTTACTGAAAAAAAGGTGAAGCCATCCCCTCCCCACTCCTTTTCATTTAATTCATGGGTGCACATCCTACCACTGTATATAATGAGCAAGAAAGGGAAAAGGAAAGGAAAAAAGAGAGGGGAAAAAGGAAAGGAAAGAAAGTGATGTAGGAAGAGGAGGAGAAACACTATGGAGATCTGCATGAAAGAAAGCCGAATTTTGAAAGTTGAATAAACAATGCAGTTTTCACAATTGCCTTCCTTCCTGATGTTGTGGTGCGCGTGAAATAATGTGCTTTGTAGGCACTCTGGAGATTGTTCAGAGAAATAAGGTTTAATATTGTTTTTGTGCCCTCAACCTTTAGAGACATTAACAGGAAGGGGTCCGCATTGTTGCAAGGCTGAAGGCCCAGGCTGATTTTTACAGATGTAGCCAGTTCTTTAAATTAACTAAGTCTTAAGTCATTGTTTTTAGCTGGAGGTAGAACAGGGCAGGATATCTGAGTGGAAGAAGGAGGAGAGATAAGGAGAGGCAGCTTAATGGTTTCCTGACATTTTTAGCTCAAAATTACCCGCTTGGTGCTGATTTCTCACAGCAACGGGAGAGGGGTGATGAATGGCCAAGGTTTATCAGGACACCACATAAACCAAAGCATAGAAAAGCAAATAATCTGGTTTATTGTCTTTCTTCAGAATAAGTCTCTCATACTCTTTTTTTTTCCTATGGGAAATTTATCAACTCCTTCATGGAATTCACATAATGAGTCACAAAACTGAAATCTTAGTCTAGAAACAAAATCTCTTGCTTCTGGATCTAGAACTGGCTTTAGTTAGTTACTCAAACTGCTGAACCGCAATCTTTTGAAAAGATTATGATGGATCCCAAACAGAAAAAAGAATAAGAG